CTGTTCCAGCCAGAATCATACATAGTCTCTTTCTTGTCTCCTACTCCTTTCTTCCCTTTACCAGCTCTCAGAATCAGCTCAGAAGTCATGGTCTTTGAGATCTCTCTGAATGCTACAGTTAGAATTAATCATTATTTCCTCTGTTCCTACAGTGATTGTCTTCCCCATCATTATAACACTTACTACATTCTGTCTTGTATTATTAATATTTTTGTCTCTTTCTCCTTGTATCAGATTTTAGCTGCTTAATATCACAATAGTCTCAATAGAGTGGTTTATATACAAATCACTCTCAATTTTATGTTCACTGAATGAATAAGTAAGGGAACCTTGTTTACAAAGTTTTTTTTTTTTAATTATGCATTAAAAATATATGGGTAATGTATCCCAAAGTGGTAGAAATTTTAATACTTTAATACTCACATGAAGAAATTGTTTGAAGCACAAAATATGTGTTAAGAATATTGACCATATTTTGGCTTTCCAGCTCTTTGCCTGAGCAAAACCCACAGACCCTCTTCTATACATTGACAGTGCTCCAAACCACAGCTTCCTTGCTCCGACTTTCTTAACCTGCCTGTGAGTGCACTGCCTCTTACAAGATGGAGCAGATACAATGAGGCAAGGACAAAAAAAGAGCACCTGAAACAAAAGCAGTGGTTTTCCCTAATTTATTTAAAACTTTTCTCGTTATCAGTTCACCTTCATGCTAGAAGGAATTTTTAAATGACTTTTTTAGACACTAGTATACTTCTTAAAATTCTGACAGAAATCAAAATTAGGCATGAAGTTGTTTTGGGCACAGCTGTTGGTTCTTGAAATTTCCATTGATGAAAGGTTTTTAGATCACAAGTCTAGGCGATACATTTGCACATTTTCTTTATGCCCTTCACGTCAGAACCTGTTCATTTACACCTGTGTTCTTTTTGTAGATATTGATTTGTGTATTTAGAAGCACATTATTAAAATTAAGGGTTTGGAGTAAAGGATCACTGCTATTTCTCAAGGCATTTTAAAACCTGTGATACAGCTGTATAAGTTTATTGTTGAACTAGAGCAGAATCCCTAATAGAATGTTTAATGGTTATATCTTTAGGCTGTTTGCCACTAGGTGGCAGTAAAAAAATATTCTTAGCAATGAGAATTGCTTATAATTTTACTTTACTTTACTTTACTTTAAAAAGAGATTTGAGGTCTAAAGTTGGAGAGAATAAGATTTATTTTGAAGATACAGAACTATTGCCAGGCCCCAGTATGTTTTTTTTTTTTTTTTTAGGATTTATGCTTATTCAGGAATAAAGCTCTTGTATCCCTACATAGAAAATGCCTTTAGGGAATTACGTAAAATACAAAGAAGTATGCCAATTGTTTTTATGAAACATTTTTATGATGAAACATAAGATAGTAATCTAGTAATCATAGAAAATTTGTAAATAGAGATAGTGTGACAGAAATCAGAGGCCTTCCTGTACACAAACAACCAATCAGAAGAAACAGAAATAAAAAAACACATCCCCTTTTCAATTAAAAAGAATCAAATACCTGGGAATCAACCTAACAAAAGAGGTAAAAGACTTACACAAAGAAAATTATAAAACACCGTTAAAAGAAATACAAGAAGACACCATAAAATGGAAAGACATCCCCTGCTCATGGATCAGGAGAATTAACATTATCAAAATGGGCATCCTACCAAAAGTGATACACAGATTTAATGCCATCCCAGTAAAAGTCTCAATGACATTCTTCAAAGAAATTGAAAAAATACTGATGAGATTGCTATGGAACAACAAAAGACCTCGAATAGCCAAAACCCTCATGTCTAAGAAAAAACAAAATGGAGGCATTACAATTCCAAACTTCAAGCTATACTACAAAGCCATAATAATCAAAACTGTGTGGTACTGGATCAAGAACAGACATACAGACCAGTGGATTCAGATAGAAAACACAGATATAAACCCACAGGCTTATGGACAGCTAATCTTTGACAAAGGAGCAAAAAAGATACAATGGAACAAAGAAAGTTTGTTCAGCAAATGGTGCTGGGAAAACTGGGAAGCTACATGAAAAAAATGAAACTAGATCACTACCTCACACCATACACAAAAATCAACTCGAAGTGGATTAGAGACCTAGACGTAAGAATGGAAACCATAAAATACCTGGAAGCAAAGATGGGCCAAACACTACATGACATACACTTCAGCGACATCTTTAAAGATAGAGTACCAATTGCCATAATAGTGAAGGCAAGGATAAATAGATGGGACTACATCAAGTTAAAGAGCAAATGGTTCAGCAAATGGTGCTGAGAAAACTGGGAAGCTACATGCAAAAAAAAAAAAAAAATGAAACTAGATCACTATCTCACTCCATAAACAAAAATCAACTCGAAGTGGATTAAAGATGTAGACATAAGAACGGACACCATAAAATACCTGGAAGCAAAGATGGGCCAAACACTATACATACACTTCAATGACATCTTTAAAGATAGAGCACCCAGTGTAACGATAGTGAAGGCAAGGATAAATAGATGGAACTACATCAAGTTAAAGAGCTTCTGTACAGCAAAAGAGACAAAAACCAGACAGACATCCCACTGAGTGGGAAAAAATTTTCTCATACAAAACTAGCGATAAAGGATTGATCACAAAAATAAATGGAGAAGTGATGAAACTCAACAAAAATAAACAACCCCATCAAGAAATGGGCAGAAGAGCTAAGAAGACACTTCTCCAAAGAGGAAATGCAAATGTCCAAGAAGCATATGAAAAAATGTTTAATATCACTTGTAATAAGGGAGATGCAAATTAAAACCACAAAGAGCTATCACCTCACCCCAGTGAGAATGGCACATCTTCAAACAACTAGCAACAACAAATGTTGGCGAGGATGTGGAGAAATAGGAGCTATCCTACACTGCTGGTGGGAATGCAAACTAATACAACCACTATGGAAAACTGTTTGGAGGTTCCTCAAACTGCTAAACACGGAGCTTCCCTATGACCCAGCAATCCTACTCCTAGGTATCTACCCAAAAGACACAAAAAAACTGATTCAAAAGGATACCTGCACCCCCATGTTTATTTGTTTATTGCTGCTTTATTCACAATTGGAAAGTCATGGAAACAGCCCAAATGTCCAAAAATGGATGACCGGATTAAAAAGATGTGGTACATATACACAATGGAATATTACTCAGCAACCAAAAAAAAATGCAGGTCATTTGCAGCAACATGGATGGAACTGGAAAAGGTCATGCTTAGTGAAATAAGCCAGAAGGAAATGAAAAAATACCAGATGGTTTCTCTCATAGCAGGAATATAATGGAACAGGTGAGAAAATGATAATGATGAACAGCTGTATACCAGAGACATTTTGTGGGGTGGAGTGGGGAAAGGGATCAAAAACAGTTGTGGGAGGGAAAGGCACTGGACTATGGTGATGGCACAGGGTGATTTGGTGATGGGAAGCCCAAGGCTATTGCAACTGAGATGGTAAAATGCCCAAAATGAAGTGAAAATAAACATATATATGTGTGTATGTGTGTGTGTATATATATATATATATATATATATATACACATATATATAATAAAGTTAGTAAGTAATATGTGTAAGTATATGAGTATATATACTTACAAGTTTATAAGTATATATATATACTTATAAGTTTATAAGTATATATATACATATACATACATACATGTATACATATACATCTATGTGTGTGTGTGTGTGTGTATATATATATATATGTACATATATATATATATATAAAAGGAAAAGTAAAAGTAAGGTCAGGGAAGGTAAATGAACTTATTGATTATAAATGCTTGTTTTCACCATTATTCACCATAATAGTCTCCTCTATTTCCAGAAGGTAATATATAACTTTCTGAAATGTTATCTGTAGTTAATTACATGTTTCTGCATACAACCCATTATAAAATTACTTCTTTGTTATTATAGCCAGCATTAATTATTCTAATAAAATGTTAAAAGGTCTATAATCTTGAAACAGATTGTCTTGATATATGGCTTTTATATGCAAAAAAGAAAGATTGTAAAGTATTGATACCTAAAGAATGCCTATAATCCAATTTCAAGAAGAGTATTTCAGAAAGAATACAGTATTTATTTCAATTAGATGAAATTAATATTTCAATTAGATGAAATTAATATTTATTGTCTGAAACACTATATACACTATGTTCATGTAATTATCTTACCAAGTTGGTTACCTATTAAACACATCTTTTTAATACTGAAAAAATATATATAAAAAGAAAATCAAATATTTCCAAGTAAAACACTTTTCAAAAAGGAAAGATTTTTTCCAGACTAAAATAGAAAAAAGAAAATATATGTACCTTTAATATTACCACCCTAGAGTCTGTTAAAATTTGGTGATATTTTCTTCCATTATCTTTTTTCACTCCCATGTATGGATTATTTTTATATTGATGAGGTCATTTCTATGTATAAAAATTTGTACCTCCCTTTCTTCATTTAATATTTTTATGGAACTTGCTAAAGTACTGTTAAAATTTATAAACATTTTAGTGATTTAAATGTACTATACTATGTTATAAAGCAATCATACCTTGCTTTTATGCATTTTTCACTAAGAGATAATACTTATGAATCTTTGAGCATACTTATCACTATATTTGGATTTCTTTCCTTAAATGTATCATCATATTTGAGTTTATTTCCTTAAAAGTATGTGAGCTACTTTAAAAGAATTTGTTTTAGGGCCTTTAGCATATATCTTCAGTGCTCTCTTTTAAGGCCAGCCTTTATCAATCATTGCAATACCTCTGTTTAGCTTACAAACCTCTGGGTGCATATCGCCATAACCTGGCAGTCCAACCATTTTGAGAACTTATTTCATAGAGATGACCACATTTACATGTGACCCAGATCTAGGCCGTGTACTTAATAGGCACTTGCATTGACTTTTAGAAATTTTTTTCTGTTTATGTTTTTTAGGGTTTGTTAGCACATGTGCTTTCAACATCCAGATTTGATATAAAAGAAGCTGGTGTTTTTACTCAAAGTCTTGGCTACACACCTGCAGATTACTACCCTGGCTTGCTTAAAAATGTGAGTATTGTTAATTTATTACTATTGAAATTGTCATTGCTTAATCTAATCTACCATCAGGAAGAATGTTAAATGGAAAGATTTCACTCCTCCAGGAGAGATGTTTAACTTTTCTCTGTTTATCTCTTCTTACCTTGGGTAGATATATGGATATGTAAGGAAGAAATATGAGATGGGAGATTCTGAGAAAGTGGAAAGCCAGCAGGTTATTTAAATCAGCCATCCTCTTTTTCTCGAAGATTTTGGGAGAAGAGATCTGTTTAACCCATCTAAACAGACCTTGTACTTTCAGTAAATTTTGTATTAAAATAACTTGATTGGATTTTATGTTAAAGCAAAATATTCAATAAATAGCAACCATACAAAATTACAACTATTATTTATTTAGACCTTAATATTAAAGCAGTGTTCTCTTCCTTACATTTTAGCCAAACCCAAGAAATTTTAATTTCTTGACATAGGTCTTCCAAAAAATATTAAAGACCTTTAATATTTGTTAATCATTGTATCTTTTGGAAACTTTATGAATGAATAACATTTTAAAAACTAAAAATTATTTATTTATTGGGAAATTACTGATATGTCTGTTGTACATTTCCTTTCATAGGACTGCAAAATAACAGACATTTAACCTGAAAATCCAAATTATTAGTAAATGTGATTTGACACGGCTTTCTTTTATGTTGACAAAATTAAACAAGGAGAGGACAAGTTGGGCAGGGGTGGGGATAGTGGATAGGGAACCTCGATGGAAATATCACTCACACCAAGAAAAATATAACTGATATAACCTAGTGTGCAGTGTGAGTTTAACTTGGGACTGATTTTGTTTTACAGATGGTTTTATCATTAGTGTCTGAACTCAAAGACAATCATCTTAATGGATTTAACACTCAAAAGCGGTAGGTGATAAATGAAACATTCTTTCAAGTTTCAAACTATTATCAGTTTGGTTATGAAAGAAACATTTTATAATTCTTTCTAAGAAAATGCAAATTCATAGTTATGGTGGAGAGATTATTTTAGTGCACTACTTGTTTTATCAAACTTTTTTTTAAACCGCTCCTCTCACTGTTTTAAGACAGTAAATCATACCACTTCTCTTGTTTACCCACTGAGTAAAAAGCTGTATGTCTATGATAGAAAACACAAGAAAGAAGTGTTCTGCTCACTCTGTTTGTGTGTATGTCACTCACACAATCAGAATATTTACAAGGCAACAGATAGCTGATGTACACATCTGAGCTATTTTAAGAATCACAACATTCCAAAATCTAGACTAAACAAATCAAATAGATTCAAACAAATTAAAGGACAATTATTCATATTACAACATGTTTCTTCACTGTGTGAAAGAATTCAGAGTTTTCATTTAGAAAAAAAATGAGAGCATCTGAGGTCCAAGGTCTTTCTGATTTTATAAATCTATTGCAATTAAAACTATATCCAAATGGTCTCTACTCTCAGCTTTAAAAATGTTTTGAATCTAAACCATAAAGTAAGCTATAAAATTAGAAACAGTGAAGAATATCTTTATGTCATTGATTTTGGTAGTGATTTTTTAAGTTATTTTTTACATGATTGTTAATTTTTGAACTGTATTTTTGTGTGTGTTTTTTCCTTCCACATTTTAAAAGGCCACATTTAATAGAAAAAGGAGCATGAAAAAGAGAGGAATCTGCATAGCCTCAGATGAGCTGCTTTCAATATTTGACAGTATTTTAGTTTTCTCCTTGGAGGTAACCCCTCTTTTCTACCCCCATCAGAGTGCCCATGAGCTATCTCCATAGTCCCTTGTGCTCTTTTCTCTCCTGTTGATCCTTCTACCTCCCCTTCCCTGTTCTGATCTATGGTCATTTTGCAATTTTGTCTTTTTCCCAACTCATTGTTCATTTCTCTATATTCCACATATATGTGAAACCATCACATATTTATCTTTTTCCATCTGATTTATTTTGCTTTGTATATTATCTTCCAGCTTTACCCATGTTGCTGAAGTGGAAGTTTCCCATTTCTGCTTAGATTTTGCTACTTTCCCAAACCTGCTACTTGAGGAAGTCTGCTGCTTTGATTTTGCTGTGTCCTGGGGCAGAAGAGCTGTTGGATGTACTTCACTCCCTGTTCACAGGGGTAGCTGTGGCTACCCTGATCACCTTCCCAAACAATAAAGAATGCTTATGCTAGAAAGATGGGATGACAATTTTCCTTATACAAACTGTATAAAACCTCACCATTCCTGTAATTCGGGGCTCAGCCTTTTGGGACTGATCCCATTGAGCCCACTGGTGTGACAAGTAAACCTCTCTCTACCTTTCTGAGTGCTGTCTGATTTCTCTGGGAAATTGCCATAACATTGCTGCAAATGGCATAAGTTTATTTTTTGCGTTTATTGAGTAGTATTCCATTGTGTATATATACCACTTCTTCTTGATCCATTCATTTGTTATGGGGCACTTAGGTTATTTCTATATGTTGGCTATTGTAATGCTGTATTAAACAAAGCAGTGAAGGTTTCCTTTCAAATTAATGATGTTATGTCTTTGGGGTAGGAGTGGAATTGCTGGTCATATGATAGATCCATTTTTAGTAGTCTGAGGAATGTCTACACACCTTTTCATAGTGTCTGGACTAGTTAATACTCCCATCTGCTATTTCAAAGTATTCCTTTTTTCAGTACTTCCTTGCCAGCATTTGTTTCTGGATTTTAAAACATGGTGGATTTTCACAGATAAGATGTAATATCTCATTGTGGCTTTGATTTGCATTTCCTTGATAATTAGTGGTGTCTAATGTTTTTCCATATGCCTCTTGGCCATTTGGACTTGTTTTTTGGAGAAGTGTCCTTTTAGCATTCTGCCTTTTTTAAAAATTTTTATTGGGTTATTTGCTTTTTTGTTGTTGTTGTATAAGCTATTTGTAGATCTTTGATATGTCTCTTATCAGATATATGGTATGTAAATACTTTTCCCAATTCAGCAGGGTCTCCTCATATTAGTTGCTGTCTCTTTTGCTGAAGAGAAGTTTTTTACTTTGATGTAGTCCCAGCTGTAGATTTTTTTTAAAGATTTATTTATTTATGCATGCAGTACTGGGGTACAAACCAGAGATGTAGGGGCAGCGAGAGGATTCACCAGAGAGTGGGGAGCAGTACAGGCAGATTGACGAAGTACATTGCTGAGAGGAGCAGCAAGCGGGTCAGGAGAGGCCTGCCATATGGATCACTTCTGGGATGGGGGATAGAACTCGCACTGAAGCAGCTGTGGCTCACTTGCATTGCTGTGTTCTAACCCGTTTGTTGCATCACTGTTGATATTTATTCTCTTTTGTTGTCCTTGCTTTTAGAGATGAAGATGTTTCTGTATCAAAGATGTTTCTGAAGTTTATGTTGTGTTTTGTCTATGTTTTCTTGTATGTATTTTATGGCTTCAGGTGTTACCTCCCAGTCGTTTACCAATTTTGAGGTGATTTTTGTGTATGGTGTAAGATAGTAGCCTGTGTCATTCTTCTGCATGTGGCAGTATATTTTTCTCAACACCATTTACTGAAGAAGTTTTCCTTATTCCAGTGTTTATATCATAGATTATTAGTTGACAATATAAAAGTGATTTTATTTCTGGCCTTTCAATTCCACTCCATGGTTGTATATCTGTTTTTTGTTCCAGTACCATAGCTTTGATTATAGTTTGAAAGTGTGGGAGTATGATACCTCCATTCTTCCCTCCTTTAGTCAGGAGAGCTTTGGTTATTCAAGGTTTTTTATGAATTCATATGAATTTCAGTATTATTTGTTCCACTTTGCTGAAGGATGTCATTAAGATTTTTATTTGAATTGCAGTGAATCTGTATATTTCTTTGGGTAAGATGGCCACTTAGTAATGGTGATTTCTTGTCCATGAGCAGCAGAGGTTTCTCATTTCTTTGTGTTTTCTTTTGTTTCTTTTTTATTTTTTTTTAGATTTATTTATTTATGCTTACAGAACTTGGGTACAGGCCAGAGGTGTGGTGAGGTGAGAGGATTCACCAGTGACAGTGGAGAGCAGAACAGGTAGATTGACAAAGTACACTGCTAAGGGTAGCAGTGGGGGGTCAGGAGAGGTCTGCCATGCCACGTGCATCAGCTTCCTGATGAGGGATTGAACTCACGCTGCAGTGGCTTCAGTTTCATAATGCGGTGCTTTTAACTTGTGCCACCAGGGAGAGCCCTTTTGTTTCTTTTAATGGTGTTTTATAACTTTTCTTTTCTTTTATAGGTCTTTTATGTCCTTTGTTAGGAGATGTTATTCATAGGTATTTAATATTTTTTGTACAATTTTAAATGGAATGTTTTTTTAATTTTTTCCTCTTCAGACTGATTGTTTTCATATAGCACGGCTACTGATTTTTGTGTGTTAATTTTGTGACCTATTACTTTACTGAACTGGTTTGTTACTTTAATTTTTCCATGGAATTTTTTTTTACAAGTCTCTAATCATATCACCTGCAAATAATGGTAATTTTTACTTTTTTCTCAATTTGCATTTTTTATGTCTTTCTCTTGACTAATTGCTCTAACCAGGACTTCCAGTATTATATTGAAAAACAGTGGTGAGAATGGACATTATTATATACTATTCCAGATCTTAGTGGAATGGTTTTCAGTTTCTCACCATTGATAATAATGTTAGCTGTATGTGGATTTGTCATTTCTGGCTTTTATTATGTTAAGATATGCTTCCATATTCCAGGTTTTTCAAGGGCCTTCATCATAATGGATGTTGAACTTTATGTAGTGCTTTCTTGGCATTGATAGTTATGATCATGTGTTTTTTTCTTTTCTTTTTCGATGTGGGAGTTACATAAATTGAATTTTGTATGTGAACTATCCTTGTATCCCTGGGATAAATCCCACCTCATCATGGTGTGTAATCCTTGTTTGATTTGCTGGGATTTTGAGAATGTTAGCAGCTGTGTTCACTAGGCAGATCAGGCCATCGTTTTCTACTTCTGTGTCATCTTTGCTTTGTTTTGGTAGTGTAGTTTGTTTGGTAGTGTAGTGTAAAATATATTTAATAGTATTCCTTCTTTCTCAATTTTTAGAGTTTTTGTAGGATAGACATTAGTTCATCTTTTATCTTTATATCGTTGTAACTTTATATCAACAAAAACGGTTGGTGTGATTTCAGCCTTCATATATTTACTGATGTTTGTCTTTCGACCCAGTTGATGTGGTTGATCCTGGAGAATGATCTGGGTACACTTGAAAAAAAAGTACATTCCATTTTATTGGGGGTAGGGGATGCAGTGTCATAAATATCTTTTTTGTTCATGTGGTCCAGTATTTTATTTAGGGTTATTGTGTTCTTCTTTATTTTCTCTCTCACTGGTGAAAGTGGTGTGTTGCTGTCTTCTACCAAATAAGTATTTTCTCTAGTGTCTATTTTCAGAGCTGACAATAACTGTCTAATGTATTTTGGTACTCCTGCATTTGGTGAGTATACACTGAAGAGTTTTAGGTTTTCCTATTGTATTGTCCCCTTGATGATTATATATAGTTTCAATCCCTGTCTCTGTCACTTTTCTTAGCCTGAAGTTTGTTTTATATGATATAAACATGGCTACCCCACCTTCTTTTGGTTGCCATTTGCTTATAGAATTGTTTTCAAACCATTTACTTCCAATCTATATTTATCTTTGAAACTTGGGTAGGTTCCTGACAGCAGCAGAAGATTGGATTCTGTTTCTGATCCAATTTGCTAACCTGCCTTTTTACTGATGAGTTTAAGTCCATTAATGTTAGGGTGATTACTGATACATAGAGGTTATATTATTGCCATTTCATTCATCATTTTGTGGGTTTTTAATTTGTTGTTCATATTTCCATGTTCATTCCTTGTTTCTTGCAGTATTTCTTGGAATGGGGTTT